TACGCGGGACTTTTCGGGAGCAACAAGACGTGCAGCAGTTCGTCACCTCATGCGACACGTGCTAGCGGATGAAGAGCAGCAAGCAGAAAAAAGCAGGGTTACTTCAGCCTCTACCCGTACCGGAGCAGCCATGGCATGTCGTTAGCCTCGACTTCATCACAGGATTTCCTTCGACCTCACAAGGGCATGATACTATACTCGTGGTGATCGACAAGTTCTCCAAAATGGGGCACTTCATCCCGACCAACGCCACAGCTACAACTGAAGCGACTGCTCGCCTCTTCTTCGACCGCATCATCACCATCCACGGCATCCCCGCTACAATTATCTAAGACAGAGACCCCAAATTCACAAGTAAGTTCTGGAAGGAGCTCATGGGATTATTGGGGACCAAACTTGCAATGTCCTCACCATACTACCCACAAACTGATGGACAGACAGAGCGACTCAATCAAGTGGTTGAACAGTTACTGCGCACAGCTTGCAAGGACGACGTCAGCCATTGGGACACACAGTTATCGACCCTAGAGTTCGCTTACAACAACGCATCACGTGCGGCCACAGGGAAAACTCCTTTCTTCCTGTGTTACGGACGGGAACCACTCACACCACAGCAGCGAACCACACCGGCACACGTCCAAGCCGCACATGACTTCGTCACCACCATGCAGCAGCTATGGAAGAAGACTCAGCGACGACTCACCACGATGCAGACCTCCCAGAAGCAGTGTGCTGATCTTCAGCGACGTGATCACTCAGTAGCAGTCGGAGATCAGGTGCTTCTTGACACGCGCAACTTGAACCTGTCTCACCTCCCATCCGGCCTCGCTTCTGTGGTCCTTTTCTCGTTGAGGCACAAGTGACACCAATTACATTCCGCTTGCGCTTACCAGATTCATGGAAGCTTCACAACGCTCTCCATGTCCAGCTACTGAAACCCTACAAGGACCCCAACCAACAGTTCCAGGGATGCCAGCTAGAGCCACCACCACGTGTTCTCATACAGGATGAACCCGAGTACGAAGTGTAGCGCGTTCTCACTCATCGACGCCGCGGCGGCAACACCCTCGAGTTCCTGATACGATGGAAGGGATACGACCCCACTGAGGACAGTTGGGTTGCAGAAGCTGATATGGGCAATGCACGCCGTGCTCTCAAGGACTGTCTTGTCAAGTAGGGTGTTTCTCATGCCACCCAGCTTTGAGGGGGGGACGTGTGAGAGTACGACGGCTTATGCCAGCTATGCTTGCTTGCCTTTACTTTATTATGCCATTTCTAGCATAGGATAATTATATGCATGCATGAATTGCTTGATTTCCTAGGCTAGGTGCTTTCCTATATTTTATTATAGTTATAGCACTGAGCTAGGTTGCGTGCACCGAATTCTGGGCTTTTCGGTTGCCACCGAATTGCCTTATACCCATTGCGACGAATGCAGCTACCTAAGATAGATGCACACTTAGTTGACGCATGGGGACGTCACGATGGGGACATGGGACGGGAAAGGGTGGAGAGAGTCAAAGTCCGCTGCGGGGGAAATTCCGGATTTATACGGGAAATGCTCGCGACGACACTAGATGGGCACTACATTTTACTGGGACATGATTGGCTGCGATGGTATAACTCGCGGATTGACTGGACAACGGGTAGCTGCACTGTGCGAAGTAGCGGTAACTGGGTTGAGCTTCCTCGCTGGCAGTCGACCAAGTCTTCAACGGTACACGTCAACGTCGTCACCATGAAACGGGTTGTCGCTGCTGGAGCTGACGTGGACGCAGTAGACGTTTCAGTGGTAGAGGGAGAAGAGCAGCCGAGTGATTTCAAGAAACTGCTGGCAGCGGTACCGCCCGAACTACAGGAACTGTTGAAACGATACCCCGGGATTTTTCCCGATGACTTACCGGAAGGAGTGCCACCTCAGTGAGCACATGACCACCGAATAGAATTAGAACCTGGGGCACAGCCAACTGTATAGCGCCAGTTCATACTGACACAACCCGAGCTCGACGAACTGAGGAAGCAGTTAGATTACTTATTAGAGAAGAAATTCATCCGACCGAGCTCGTCACCGTTCGCTGCACCGATACTGTTCACGCCAAAAAAAGACGGAGGGTTTTGCATGTGCATCGATTACCGAGCGCTCAATAGGGTAACAGTCAAGTCGCGGTACCCCATTCCCCGCGCCGACGAACTGATCCATCAACTGCGAATAGCACGGGTTCTTTCGGAAATAGATTTACAGGGAGGTTACCATCAAATTAGGGTCGAACCATCGGACTGCGCCAAAACAGCTTTCCGGACTAGGTACGGGTCGTTCGAGTACACCGTGATGCCCTTCGGTCGTCACAGGGTTACCAGCCAAGGCGAGTGGGAACGACCCGCTCCTGGTCGTCGTCGATCGAGTGACGAAAATGGCACATTTCGCAGCCTGCAAAAAATCGATCACAGCCGAAGAAATAGCTCGACTCTTCATCTCCACCATCGTTCGACTACACACGATACCATGAGCGATCATCAGCGACTGCGACACGAAATTCACCAGCAACTTCTGCCGGAACTTGTGGCAGCAGTTCGGCACGCGACTACAGTTCAGTTCTTCGTACCACCCCGAAACCGACGGACAGACAGAACGGACAAATCAGACTATGGAGCAACTCATCCGAGCCACGTGCGACGACCCAACCACCTGGGAACAACAGCTGCCACTCATTGAGTTCGCATACAACAACTCACCATCCGCCACGACCCAACAATCACCGTTTTACCTGAACTACGGACAAGACCCAACAGTACCCATGATCCCGAATCTCGACAACCCGGTGCCACGAGCACAACAGTTCGCCGAAATTTTACAAGCAGCACGGACCCGGGCAGCTAATGCAATAAAAAAATCGAACGTCATCGCTAAACGTAACGTCGACCGCCACCGCCGACCTGTCACTTACCAACCTGACGACCTAGTTTTACTCGACACTCAGAACCTCCGCCTGCCCATCACCCCAAAACTCCGCCCCCGATATTGCGGGCCATTTCGCATAAGCCACATGATTACGCCCGTCACCGCCCACCTCCTCCTCCCCGCTGACTGGTACCGTCACCCCCCGGATATACCCCCATGGGGGGCAATAATAAAACAGGTTTTTTCAAGGGGGTGGGCTTATAATCGAGTAAATTTATAAGCGCTGGCGTTTATAAAATGACATTCATATTTTTTATATTTTTTAACACCAAACTGAAGGTCTCGTGCTTGCCCTTTCAATCGAGTCGAAGTTACATGGGGTCGTCTGTGAAATTCTCGCGCGCGCTGGGAGACACACCCAATCTGACTCACATCCAGCTCCTGGCAGCTCCTGACAGCTCCTGCTGACTGGACCCGCATCCAGTGCAGGGTCCGAATGTGAAGGGAACCGAATCTGCAACATATCTGCCTGCTAAAGTAAAAATCATTACAACATTTTGTACACATTTCAAATTTTAAAGTTTACGTGCGCTTATAATAAAACTAGTTTTTTCAGGGGGTGCGCTTATAATCGAGGAGGGGATATAAGCGCCATATGCCAATTAGAAGCGCCAGGCGCTTATCCTAGGGTGGCGCTTATATCCGGGGGATGACGGTACGTCAGCCCCTCATTCCACGTCAGTTTGCTTCGCCCCTACGTACCGTGCACAAGCCAACTGCCACGTAATCGCCCAGCCAGCATGACACGACCGCCGACAGAACCAATCATCACACCCGAGGAAATTCTGAGCCACAGAGTTCGTGACCCTCGAGGAGCCCGAAGGATCGAGTTCCTGATCCGCTGGAAAGACCGTACACCCATCGAAGACATCTGGATTCCCCTGGACAGAGTCGAAAACCACCCCGTCCTCACAGAGTATCTGCGCAGCCGAAACTTCAGGGATGTACACGCGCTTTCGTAAGGAGGACCTTCTTAGGGGGGAGGGTAGTGTAAGGAAAATTCCTTTTCCTTACTTCGCATCCCCGCTCAGCGCGTACACCACTGTAGCACCACAGTCGGCACCGTTACCACTCGCAACCCTCGCATCGACAATCCTCCCGCCACCTTCGCACGTCGCACCCCGACCTCACGGCTCGGCGGGTAACCCGCGCTCCGGGCCTCCGCTTCGACATTTTTCCCAAACCTCAGTCCCAGGCCCGTCGCGCGACAACCACAGTCCATTACCGTTACCACTGTAGTTTAGCTATATATTCTTCGCTCATGCCTTCGCTCAGTGTACTATTGCTTCGATAGTGCAATTCTTGCTCGATCACTCAATTGCACTCGTAACAGTTATTCCTTTTCCGCGCAAATCTGTGTGACAACTCCGAACATACATAAATGTGAAACAGCCTCCTACCATCGCGTTCCGAACTTCCTCGCTTACCGCATTCTGCGGTCGCTAAGCCAACCAATCTTGGACTACATTCTCGTAACAGTCTGACAATGAGCGCACCTCCCGCAGACCCTAGCAATCCACAGTCGACCTCTCGTCGACGATGTGGTAACACGAGATACTGCGCCGCTCGCACTAAACGGCCGCGCAATCCAATCCTCGCCACCGATTTTGAATGCACGCCACCACTTTCTGCATTTTCGTCCCTCCGCGTGTAACCATCAGCACCGCCTCGCAGGTTACACGACCTAGTTCCTACTCGCAGCTGTAACGCGCACGCAATTAGTTCCTCTGGTTGCCGCATTCGCCGCTTCGATTTGCGCGTTCCATGCTCGCTCCCTCGCTCAGTCGCTCTCTCTTTGCGATCCCGCGTTTCACGCTCGCAACTCGATGGCCTCACCACACCACTCGCTCCCAACGCATAAATCACCTCCGTCTCTTTCCTTAGCCATCTCACAACATTCCGCTGTTTCGTCACCTCGAGCCCGTCACGCCTCGCTGCAGCTTGCGAGCTTCTCTTCGCGCTCCTCGTCATTAGTTCACTGCGATCGCCCATTCCCGTCGCTCGTTCCCGTCGCCCCGCCTCCCCGTCACCCATCGCCAGCATGGAGCACCGCGCCCGTTCCGCCCTCCGCCGCTTCGCCGCACTAACTCTCGCCGCCGGCCTCGTCGCGCTGGCCGTGCTCGTCGCGCCGACCACCGCCGGCGATGCGTATCTCCCTCCGTACTTCGGCGCGCCGAGCGGCACGGGCATTTACTTGTTCCGCCCGGGAGAGGCGGAAGACGAGTCATCGTTCAAAGTCCTCATATACGACGAGCCGTCTTCGATCGGGAATGGCCAAGCTCTGTGCGCCAGCGTGCCGCAAGCTGGGAATCGGTTCGCCAAGGGTGGGGTGGTGAGGGTGCGGTGGGACACGTCGATTGGGTTTCTCGACATGACGTGCAAGCGACTCACCTTCTTCCAGACCCCGCGCTGCAGGGGGCGCCCCTACCTGGCGCTCATGCGCCCCGACAAGCGCGGCGGGCGGATGAGCGACGACGAGATGCAAGCCATGCTCACACGCAGGTGCGCCCGCTTGTCCGCTCTGAACCGCGAAACACGTACTGCCAGACAGAAGTGCACTCTCACTGTTTCCGCTCGTGCTGCTCGCAGGGTTCTCCCTCCTGCCCAAGTGCCCAAGTCGGTCAAATGCGAGTTCGGTAAGTCTCTCCGGTGGTGTCTTGAGTCATGAGCCCTCTGCGCCGCCATGTCATTGCTCCAACCCACGGAGCCCTCATTTCCTTAATCACTTTCTTTCCCCGCCCCAATCATTGCAATGGATCTGGCAACGATGTTTCCGTATCCATGCACCTGTCGCTGCCGACGCTATTCCCTTCCTCTGCATGCTAAAACGGCCATGGCTTTTTCACAGGCTGCGACGCTAAGTGCGGGAAGGTGGCGGTGTGCCTTAAGAGGAATGGCAAGCCCCAGTGCGTGTGCCCTGGCGACGGCATCTACAATGCCGCTGACAAGACATGCAAAGGTGGGCGTTGCTGAGACGTTCGTTTCCATGTTACGTGTTTCATCTTACAGCTGTTCATCTCGCCCATGTTGCATGTCACTCTGGTTCATGTCACTCTGGTTCATGTCACTCTGGTTCATGTCACTCTGGTTCAACTGGCTGTATCCCATCCATCAGCACTCTCCATCCACATTGATCATCATTCCAGCCACTTGTTTTGCTCCTCTCTTTCCTCCCCTGATGCGTTTCCACCTTCTTCCTCTGCCCTTCCTCTGCAGCAGCGGCAACAAAGGGGCTGATGGGATAGGTAGGGCAGCAGCACCATCCTCTCCTAGATTCCAGCATGTGGTGGTGGAGTGGGCCCATTTGGGTTTTGCAGTGTGGCCTTCTTAGTTTCCATGCAAGTGTTATTTGTGCCTATATTTCGCAATATCCCTGTATGATCTTCCCACGTATTGTATTATAAATCTTTCCATGCCGATTCCGTTCCCTGAACAGAATGCTCACTGAAATGACAATGCCATAACCAGAACGTCACCAACAGCCTCCTGGTAGATTTGTTTTGGAGCAGTTTGATTTATCAATGATGGTACAGGAAGGAAAAGACCCTGAATATCAGGTCAGGTTATCGAAGTTACCTAGAAACAGAACCCTAAATATTCAGGGTCAGCAGCACTAACAAAGATATTTAATCACTCTCTTTTGTATATAAGCCGAAATGTCCATGATTCATGGCAAGCAGTGGAGTCTGGGGAGGGGCTAGGTGTAAGGAATTTTCCCGAATTCCTTATCGGGGTTGACTGCTGTTGGGAACAACAAGTCTTAAGCGCCTCTGTCGTGTCGAAACTCAGGACACAAGCGAAGCAGCTCAAATCGAAGCGCAACGAGTCAACCCTCGGAGGTTAGGGTAACCGCTGGAGGTTACGAGAAGGTCAAAGGTCAGCGACCTTTGACTTGACAAATACAGCGCGACAGCAAGGACACACAACTGACTCGACATTGAGCAGTTGCCCGAGTCGCACTGTATCGATCGCAACAGCAAAACAATTTAATTATATCTATTCGTATTCCTTGTACTCTTATATAAACCTTTGTATTTGCTTGTTTTAATCAACTTACTTTGCCCTCACATACTAGCGCAAGGTGGTTCAAAGACTTTTCATTCAACGCTTCCACTATTACATCATCCTACTCAGACTTTAACTCTACAAAGATCCTAGGGCACCTCAGCCCAACATGGTATGAGAGCAAGCTAGAGTTTAAAGTTATTTTTTCTTTCAACACTCAATACAAAGAAGACATGTCTGCTACAAAGGAGAGGAGCTCCTCCAACGTCTCTCCAGGCACTACTCCTACTCCACCTCCTGTCTCTGGCCTACAGACTGAGGAAGGGACAACCACAAGACCAGCAGCTGGGTCTACGGAAACACCCGCGGGCTTCGATCCAAGTGTGATGGAGAATTTTTTCTCCTTCATGTCCTTCTACGAGCAGCACCAGCAAGGAGTACCTGCGCAGTCAAACAACAGCAACAACAACAACGTGACACCCACGAGTCTCGACGGCTCATCCTACGCACGCGGGATTCAACAACAACAACAACAGCCTACCTTTGCTCCGTACGAGCCCCAGCCTGGCTCCGTCAGCTTCATGCCGCAACCGCAATCTGCACCGGGACAAGAAAGAGCACTGGACGCATTACAAGTTCAATCGCAATTCACGCATGTCTTAAAGCTTCAAACGACAAAGCCTTTCGACGGAAAGATTTCTTCACATGGTCGTTCGAGTTCGAGCTGATGATGGAAGGAGCACAGATTCTTGGCTTCTTCGATGGGTCCCTGCCATATCCAACAAACGGCACACAATATGAGAAGCAGCAGTACACCTATCAATCAATGATGGCGTACACACTATTGTTGAGGAACATCACCCCGACCCAACAGCAGAACATCAGGACTTACCGAGGCTATGGCAACTCCGCGGAGCTCGCGTACAACCACCTGAAGAACCTGTATCAAGCAACAGACAATGTAAATCAAAGCCGGTTAATGGCGCAACTGACAACAATTGAAATGAAACCAGGCGAGAAAGGCATGGCTTATATCAGTCGCTGCCGCGAACTGCGCGACAAGCTTCTTCGATGCGGAGGGTCAATTTCAGAAGACGCCTTCGTCACGGTGGTCATCGGCGGACTCGGCCCCCACTGGCGCTCCACTCGCGCCATACTATGAGCACACGGGAGAATCTTCGAAGCAGCACTCTACGCCGAAATTCATGCCGAGCAGCAGGACATGGACCTGCAAGAAGAACGACACAAGAAGAAAACGTTAGCACCAGAATTCGCGTTTCACACTCAGCGACGATACAACAACAACAATCGACAACAGCAACAAGTGAAGACAGTACCTCCGTTCTACCACATGTGCAAGACCTCGGGTCATCCTCGTACGCACTGCCCGTCTCGTCAGCAATCGACGACACCACAGCGACAACTTCGGCCTTCAAGCTCCCAAGTCGCCTCAACGCAAGCAAATCCGACGACCTCAATCCAAGCTTCAACAACTCCAACAGGACAACCGGCACAAGGAGCAAGAAACATCGTCAATTGCATGGTAAAGATAACAGACTCTTGCACAACCGAGTCACCACCTCACTACTCACCGGAAGAAGAACTTGACAACAGCACGCCTCGCCGCGAGTCACTCCAGCCGAACCCGACGTACGCTGCCATCGCTCAAAGTGAACCGTCCGCACAAGATACTTGGTTCTTGGACAGTTGCTGCGGACAACATATGTGCTCCTCAGGACGCTTCGTTCAACGCGAACATCGACTTCAGCGAGAAGTAGTCATCACGGTCCCCAACAACCAGAACCTGCGCACACGACGACAAGGAGTAGTACAACTTCAGTCACGAGAAACAAACGTTATACTGCACATGTCAAAGGTACTTATCGCGGAGGGACTCGGCTATAACTTACTGAGTGTCAGCCAGTTGATGGCGAAAGGCATCCACTTGGAAGCCGACAGCACCACCCAGGAGTTTAAGCTGTACCACAGGAAGAGCGGTCTCTACATCGGAAAGGCGGTGTTGAAGAATAACGTCTTCGTCCTTGATTTCGTCCCCGACCTGGGCACTGCAGACAGCGATGCCATTGTCAACTTCGCCGACTGGACACATCCCTTGTCAGATGATTATATTGCTGATGCATATATTTAGGCTGTAGTGGGGTAGCCCATAGGGGGTACAACCCAATTAGGGTTGGTACTTGTACTTGTTCTCATTTCATAGTGCACTCATTCCTCTCTAATCTCGACATGGTATAGAGCGGGTCCTTCCTAAGGACCAATTTTTTAGGGCCCACCCACGAAAATTTCGCTGCCCGGAGCGCGCCCTTCCCTCCCCGAAGCGCGCTCCCCCCCCTAGTCCTTCTCGCGCTGCCCTTGTGGCCCCCGCGAGTCGCGCGCGCGACCCTTTTTTTTTTTCGTGCGCGCGGCCCGGGCCACGTCGCGCTGGCCTTACGGCCGCGTCGCGCCGCCCTCGCGGCCCCTTAGCGCCGCCCACGCGGCCTCCTCGCCTGCCTCTGCAGGCCCCGACGTCGCCACTGCCGGCCCCGCAGCTGCACCTGACGGCCCCGCCGTCCCCTTCGGACGGCCCCGCCGTCCCTTTCTGCCGGCCCCGCCGCTGCTTCAGACGGCCCCGCCGTCCCCTCTGCCGGCCCCGCCGCTGCTTCAGACGGCCCCGCCGCTGCACCTGACGACCCCGCCGTCCTCCCCTGACGGCCCCGCCGTCCCACCTGCCGGCCCCGCCGCTGCTTCAGACGGCCCCGCCGCTGCACCCAACGGCCCCGCCGTCCCCTCTAACGGCCCCGCCACTGCACCTACCGGCCCCGCCGCTACCCCTGCCGGCCCCGCTACTGCACCTGCTGGCCCCGCTACTGCACCTGCCGGCCCCGCCGCTACCCCTACTGGCCCCGCTGCTGCACCTGCCGGCCCCGCCGCCTCATCTCCCGGCCCCGCCGCCCCAGCAGCCGAGCCGTCCCAGCGGCCGAGCCGCCCCAGCAGCCGAGCCGCCGTAGCAGCCGAGCCGCCCCTGCAGCCGAGCCGCCCCAGGAGCCGAGCCGCCCCAGCAGCCGTGCCGCCCGAGCCGCCCGAGCCGCCGAGCCGCCCGAGCCGCCCAGCAGCCAAGCCGCCGAGCCGCCCGCGCCGCCCGAGCCGCCCGAGCCGCCCGAGCCGCCTGCACTGCCCTGTCTGGTGAGCACTGAGCGTTCCTCTGTGCACTGCCCTCACCCTACTGCTGTCATGGCTACCCCCAGTGTCCTCACCTTTGACGCTGAGGGCAGAGCCATCGACTTTGACGTGTGGGTAGACGACCTACTGCTTTTCCTATAGTGCGACAGAGCTAACGGCCTCTCTCTCTTTGATCTCACTTCTAGTGCCTCTCCCGCCCCTGCTGCTACTGAGGATGCCACTGTTCGCTCACAGTGGGCCACACGCGATGCTGCTGCACGTCTTGCTGTGCGTCGCCACCTCCCTCCCTCTGAGCGTGCACACTTTGGGTCGTACAAGAGTGCTCAGACCTTGTACGACGCCGTTATTGCACGCTACTCCACCCCTGCCACTGCTGCACTGAGCCGCCTCATGCTACCGTACCTCTTTCCCGACCTTGCTGCTTTTGCCACAGTCGCCGACCTCATTACCCACCTGCGCACTAGTGACGCTCGCTTCCGCGCTGCACTTCCTGCTGAGTTCTGCGCCAAGAACCCCGCCCCCCCCAGTACTTCACTCTCTACTACATTGTCACCCGCCTCCCTGACTCCCTTCGCGGAGTCAGGGACGACTTACTCTCAGTCTGCCCCACCACTCTCACTGTTGAGCTCCTCGAGAAGTCCCTCCTCGCAGCCAAGAAGAGCATTCTCGCTGTAGGGGCCTCTCGTGGTGACCCGCGCACCCCCATCTTTGAGGGGTGTTCCCCCTCCCCCCTCTTGCCCTCTGTCGCCTCTGCTGCCACGGCCGACCTCGTTG